TGTAATTTGTTTGTAATTAGTCATTTCTATGACCTCATTGTATTATTGATACGTGTATACGCTTAATATATTTGTTAAGGATTTACGTCCGTTTATATTTAAAATAAATAAATAAATAAATAAATAAATATGTCGGTAAAAAATTAACGGATGCTGAAAAAACTAATTTTCTAGAAAATATATGGATTCCAGGTAAGAATTATTCATTTCCTTCTACTGAACATGGAAAAAAAACTATTGAAATTTCAGTATAGCTGGCTGGAAAAATGGAATTGGCTTGCCTATAGTAAAGTAAAAGATGGCGCTTATTGTAAATATTGTGTGCTTTTTTCTCAATCAAAAGGTGGTAAGGGTAGTCAGCCGCTAGGTCAACTTTGCACTGAAGCTTTTAACAAATGGAAACATGCTGTAGAAAGGTTTAATAACCATGATAAAGCAAATTATCATCAAAATAGTATAATCGATTTTCAATCAATTACAGCAATCATTGCAGGAAAATCTGACACTGTTTATCATCAACTAAATAAAGCTGAAAAAATTCAAAAAGAAAACAATCGAAAAATTATCGTTCCAGTAATTGAATCGGTGCTTCTATGTGGACGACAAGGCATTGAACTTAGAGGTCACCGTGACTCTGGAGTTCTTAATCTTGAAGATCCCTTAATAAATGAAGGTAATTTTCGAGCATTATTGAGATTTTTCCTAAAGGCAACTACAAAATCCGGCGATGAAAGTTTTTTATTGGCTAGAGAAAATTGTAGTAAAAATGCACAATATCTAAGTTGGAAAATACAAAATGAAATTGTTAGCATCTGTTATGAAATTATTTCATCCAAAATTGTAAAACAAATTAACGAAAGTAATTTTTTTTCAATAATAGCTGATGAAACAGCTGATATATCGGGTATTGAACAGTTTGCTTTATGTGCTCGTTATTATGATAGTAAAACCAAAAATATTCATGAAGATTTTTTGAAGTTTGTTCCGGTATATGATGTAAGTGGAAAAAGTTTAGCGAACTATATAATTACTGAGTTAAAAGAATTAAATATCGAAGTAGAAAATCTACGAGGTCAAGGTTATGATGGAACGGCAAGCATGAGTGGGAAATTTAATGGAGTTGCAGCTTTAATTAAGAAAGAACAACCAAAAGCTTTATATGTGCATTGTAGTGCCCATAATCTTAATCTATCTGTTTCAAATTCATGTAATATTCAAGGAATAAGGAATACTTTGAATACAATAGAAGCGTGTTATAATTTTTTTAACACTCCGAAGAGACAACAGTTTTTTTCAACACATTTAGACGAATTAAAAAAAAATAAATCTTCATCTTCAAAAGAAAAATTGTAAAAATTATGTCCTACTAGGTGGATTGAGCGTTATAACTCAATTGAAACATTTTATGAATTTTTCCCTGCGATTTTAAATT